GTCACGCAACGTCAAAGGTATGTGTCTTTTTTCACGTCACGCTGTGCGCACATTATTGTTTACATGAGATGAATTGCAGAATGGCAGATAGATACAAAATACTTTTAATCTGACTATCTGCAGGTTTTACACACTTACATACACACGCAGTTACTGTCCCTCCATTTAGAAAGGCAGAGGCGTCACGGTGTGATTATTTTACGTGTTTTTCATGTGTGATAATATTCAACATTGCTGTCAATACATTTTTCAAAAAATGCCTCTCTGTGCAAAATGGTTTTAAAACATAAACAGCTGTAGGACACTGTTAGTCCATGATTTGAAGAGCCCGGCGCTGCTCCCGACGCAGGGAAAAGCAATCCTCCTACCTCGGCAATTGTGCAGGTGAAACCAAAGGGCAGATTTGCTTCCCCATATTTTCTAGTCTTTGGCTTAGAATGAAGTTGGTTTGGAAACATATTCAGCGATGCTTCATCTCCTGCTTTGCGTTTGTGGAGGCGCCCGTGCTAGCAGTGTCCAAGCGTTTTGTTTTTTTTCCCCCTTTTCATACCGCGCCCCCCCCTGCAATGGCCCCACACTTTGGGAAAGTCTGCACAACTGGGACCTCTGTTCAGTCCATGTTGTAAACACGTCATTGTCCCCTCAGCATGACCCACAGACGTACATACCCACACTTCACGTCCTTACTGTCGCTCTTTCTGTTACTTCCTGATTGGCAGGTGTCCAAAGGAGATGTCGCCTCACATTGCCACAGTGACTCAGCTTTGTCTTAAGTTTATGACCTTTGACCCCAACTACAACTACGATGACAACGAGGAGGAGGATGAAGATAGAATGGACATAGATGATGAGCTTGAGGAAGGTGTGTGAGATCTGTGTGTCTGTGAATAGAAATGTAGCAGAAAAACTATTAACAGGAAGCAAATAACAGGAACATACAGAACATGATGGTGATCAATCATCATGTTTTAGGTGTCTAGTTTTGAATTAATCCAGCGATTACGATCTGTACATCCATGGTTACATCCAAACGGCCAAATGATAACTGATCATTTGTCCGTTTTCAGTGGCGTGAAAATGTGAACAAATGAGAGCTCAGAGAGAACGACAGTCCTTACCTGCAGCTGACATCACAGCAGGACAACCTTTACTCTTTAATGTTGTTTTCTTGGTTCCCAAATAGGCCTCTATGGTGGTGTTTACACTTTCATATGTATTTTAAAAGATAAATATCAGTCTTTAAAGCAGGTCTTTATAACTGACATTGAAGCATGAAATGTTTGTCTGCACACAGACTACATTAAAAACATTGAAGTTAAAGACATTTAGGCTGCATATGGATGATTTTTGTACCTGTGTTCTTTACGTGAGTTTGTCTGATTTAAAAAGAAGTTATTTAACTTTGCAACAAAAGCGGTTGTTTTTGTTCAGATTGAGTCTGTCGATTCTTAAAACTATTACAAACTTCACACAACAAAATGTGAGATCTTTTGAGTCTTCCATCCGTCACCTGTATGAAGCAAATCGAGTTTATTCTCGTTTCACGACTTCACTCAGAGTCAGACGACGAGTACAGTGATGACGATGACATGAGCTGGAAGGTGCGGCGCTCTTCCATCAAGTGTCTGGAGGCGTTGATCAGCACGCGTCTGGACCTCCTGCTCTCCTTCTACTCCTCCATCTGCCCCGCTCTGCTGGCACGATTCAAGGAGCGCGAGGAGAACGTCAGGGCCGACGTCTTCACTGCTTTTTCAACGTTGCTGAGACAAACACGGGTGGCATCGAGTCGCCACAGCCTCATCGTGTCTGGTTCAGATCCCGGGGTGAGAAGAGAGGAGGAGCCGGCAGTCGCCTTGCTGAAAAAACAGGTGCTGAGAAGTTTTTGGATGGAATTTAATTGAGTTTCACAAGTAGAGCTGAAAAGTAGATAAGTTAAAATTTAATTTTTAAAGGTGTCATTGACTTATCTAAAGTTCAAAGATGTTTGGTATTTAATTGAGGCAGGCTGCAGATCAGCTGATCTTTGCTCATTTCTAGCATCATATTTTTATTCTTGGACTCCATCAGAGTAGCTCTCTATGATTTACAATTCCAAATGCCTGCATGCTTATCCCATATATGAGCCTAAATAGACCCTTCACTTTCTGTCCTTCGCCTTTAAACAAACGTGTCCATATCTAAGATGTTGCAGTCTTCCAGTTCTGCTGAGCGTCTCGTAAATATGAATTGCAGAAATAAATTGTGCGGCGATTTGTGTGTCCAGGTGCCGGCGACTGTGAAGGCCCTCCACAGACAGCTGAAGGAGAAGAGCATCAAATCCCGACAGGGTTGCTTCTGTCTCCTCACTGAGCTGGCTCACACTGTACCGGGAGCCCTGGAAGAGCATATACCTGCCCTGATACCTGGTAGGCACACACCTACACACATACACACACACAACCCCGTTCAACTGTCTTAGTTAGGTCCTTCATTGACATAATGCTTTCCCTAGCCCCTTACCCTAACCATTAAAAATGATTGTCTAACCCTAACCCTTACCCTAAACCTAACCAAAAATGCCTTTAAATGCCTTCAAATTTGTGAGGACCGGGTTGTGTGTCCTCACAAATGCCTGTTGGTTCTCACAAGTATAGTAAAATGCAGATTTCGGTCCTCACAAAGATAGCTAGACAGGAACACACACACACACACACATGCATTACAAATTAATTCTTAACCGTCAAACTGGTCAGAAACTTTCAGTCTCTTCATCTCCCTTAAAGTCACATAGACTTTAAGGGAGATCTTTAAGATCTTTAAGATCTAAAACTCACACATTTCCTACAACCGGCTGTTCCTCAGTCTCCCAGTAGCTTTTCTTTCACTTCAGCTGCTGTATTTTCGCTCCTTGCTCCCACTCTTTCTATCTTTTTTCTTTCTGTTCCTCTCCCCTCCTTCCTGCAGGCATCGTGTTCTCCCTGACAGACAAATCCACCCTGTCCACCATGAGGATCGATGCGCTCTCCTTCTTCAACGTCCTGCTCCTCTCCCACCCTCCTCAGGCCTTTCAGCCACACATGCAGGTTTCAGAAACTTCTTTTAAGGCTTTGTCTTGAAACTTGTATGCTGCCTCTCATAATGACTCGGGGGATCTGCATCTTTAAAAAGTTGAATCACCAAATTTTTCAACAATAATGAGAATGTAAAGACTAACTTGTGCTGTGACCCCTGCAGGTGCTGCTGCCCCCAGTGATTGCATGCATTGAGGACACGTTCTATAAAATCACCTCAGAGGCTCTGCTGGTCATCCAGCACCTGGTCAAAGTGATGAGACCGCAGGGACAAGCAGGAGGATTTGACCCTAAACCGTTCGTTAAAGAGGTGAAATGGCTCAGGACTGTTTTGTTTTCTGGTCTGAGGCGGTTTAATTTAATTGTGCTCCATAGCATCCTGTCTATTTATCATTTTTCATGTGTTGTGGGAGCAAAGAATTAATGAAAAACGACTGTGAATGCAAGTTAAATACTGTGATTTGTCTAAGGAAAATGAACAAACATGACTTTTCCGGTGCTTTCCTGCAGTATTTCTACAGAATTATAGATTTTTAAAACATCTGAAACAAACTGTGATCAAAAGGTTCTGTGACTGCTCCCTCTTCATGGTCTCTGACATCGCTGGTTCATACTGTGCTGGTGCCTTCACAAGGCTTTCCTGATGAGTGGAACAGATTCAACCTTTTCTTTATCATTTTAATTTATGTATTTTTCCCAAAGGTGTTTTCTGTAACGATGAAGCGGCTCAAAGCAACAGACATCGACCAGGAAGTAAAAGAACGAGCGATTTCCTGTATGGGTCACATTGTTTGTCACCTTGGTGACCACCTGAGGGCAGAAGTTCAGGCAGTCTTGGCGATCTTTCTGGAGAGATTAAAGAATGAGATCACAAGACTAACAGCAGTTAGGACCATCAGCCTCATCGCTGCCTCTCCGTTAAAGGTTTATTGTGACTTTCGTTTTGCTTTTTTAATTTAATGAACACATTATTTACTTTGAAAGATTTTAGTAACTTCCTGTCCTTTTCTACAGATCGACATGTCACCCATCCTGCAAGAAGCGCTCTCTGTGCTGGGATCTTTCTTGAGGAAGAATCAGCGGGCGTTGAAGCTCGGGACGCTGGCGTGTCTGACGGCGCTGGTCACTCATCACGCTGCCAGCATTAAACCTGCAGCCCTGGAGCCCGTGCTGAGCGAACTTCCTACTCTGGTGGATGAGAGTGACATGCATGTTTCACAGGTACAGGCACTGAACTGAACATGCACATGAATCAGGTCAAAAATATAAATATAAATAAACATAAAAATATAAATTTTCTTCATAAATGAATCAACGTCCATGTGCATGACATTTGAACTTGGAAAGACAGAGAGTGACAGGAAGTTTTACTTTTTCAGATTGCCTTTTAGAAAGCAGGAATGTGCCTATTTTATGTCATATTATGGTAAAAAAATGTGTAATTGCAGATTTTTGGAGGTGGTTCTTTTTGTTCCATCATATAGTTCACACCAAGAAAAACATATACATTTATGAAGTGGGTTAAGGAATATCAAACATAAAGTTTAGGGATCAGATTACATGTGTTGGTGGAAAGCTGGGATCTTATTCTGCTCATTTTGATTTTTATTTAGATTTTTTCTCCTTGTTCTCTGTCAGCGTAGCTGCGTGACTCAAAAGTTCACGGGCCGCTGAGTCAGCTTTCCTTAAAACAGGATGTTGCCTGCAGACATTGTTGGAGACATGAAACATGTTTTGGTTGAATCTACCTGTAGTTTGCCTCTGTTTAGGTGTCCATCACCTTGCTGACCGGTACGGCCAAAGCCTACCCCTCGACTCTGGCTAAGATCAGCTCGTCTGTTCTGCCGGGAGTCTTCAGACTCATCCATTCACCGCTCCTGCAGGGTAGCACTCTGGAAGCAATACTCGAGTACTTGCAAGCACTGGTGCTGTCCAAAACCAGTAATCTGAGCTACAGGTGAGATAGGATGTGGTTGTGAATCTCTTTGGGTCAGATATCCTAATAACGCTGGACAGATCAACAGTTTTCGAGTGGGAAAGCTGTTTAGTGCTGAGGATTACTGCTAATGGCTTATTTATAATGTTTTCGTTGAACTATAATGAATTTTAATCACTGATATGAATCAAATGTTTTTAAATAGTTGTTGGAAAGCCTTTAATTTAGCCCACATTTTTAAAAGAGCAGCAGTGCATCATTTCAGTGTTTCCCTCAGGCATGTAAACAGTAGTTATCTCATCAAATGCCATGAAAACCTTCCAAAAGCCACAGTCCAAATGTGTTTAAGTGATTAGAAGTCATTATTTTATATTATTAGACAGCAAGAATATGAAACAGCTGATTGAAACACCATCAGATTCCCAGGAGTCCACATTAAATCACATCCCCTGGGTGTAGACGTCGGTGTGAGTCACAGCTGAGTCAGGTCTGCTTTGTTATCACCAAGAAATGAATATTCATGTAATTACCATCTGCAGGGGAACTCCAAAGTTTTTACAGATAAATATCAGTTCAGTATTCAGAGGGAGGAATACTCAGTCTGCTGTGTAATGTCTTCTCTGGCTCTGGAGAAGTTTGTCTGGTCTGAGAAAATAAGCCTGAGTC